TGGTCCATCACCCTCCCCATCCTCTCCAGCACCAGGACTGATCCTGCTCTCTGTGCTTGCTGGAGGGCTCAGGCCCACCCAGATGAAAAGATCACCCCATCCTCAAACCAAAACTGAAGCCTGCAGGGAGCTGGCTCCCCACGGATGGAGCTGGGCTTCCAGGAGCATGATTTAGGGACGCCGGTTGAGGAGGAGGAATGGGGACCCTCAAGCCTGACTCCTGCCAGTGGGACATCCCACACCCTGACAGGCTGGGGGGCTGCAGGGCGCTGGGAGGGACCAGGCAGTGCTTCATCCCTGTGCCTGATGCTCCCTGTGCCCCAGCCAGCACCCGGGTAGGACGGGGAGGTGCTGGGACAAGCCCAGTGTGGGCACCACCAAGCCAAGGCCACCAGCCCTTAGGCACAAAGCCAGCCTCCAAGAGCAGAGGCTGGGGGGGTCTCGCTGCCCCCGGAGGCAGCATGGACGTGGTTCACAAGAGCCAGCCCCGTGCCCCCCAGCCTGCTCCCCACCTCGGCGGTCATGCGGGCGATGAGGCTGGGCAGGATGGCCCCGCACAGCACGTTCCTCCGCAGGCTGGGGTTCTTGGGGTCCTTCAGGTTGCTGATCCTACTCCGCACCCGGTTGCGATACTTCATGTCCGTGCTCTTCAGCTCCTGGAAGATATGTGGGGTCCGTCAAGGAATCAAAGGGGCAAGGTGGGGGGATGCCAGCCTCGTGGGCACCCGCTGCTGCTCTGGGCTCCGTGGTGCTGATTGTCACCAGGGCCGGTGCCCGTGTGCATGTGGAGGTGGCTGATCTCAACAGGGCTTTGCTCCCTGGGGGACCATGTGTCGGGGATCTCCCCCTCCTTGGGTTCAGTAGGATGAAGCACAGCTTGGGATGTGGGGTGGAAAACAACTTTGCATTTCGCTGCTGTGACACCCAAAGGCTGCCAGGGCACAGGGATCATCACCAAGCCTTGTGCTGGGACCTGAGTTCATGGTGCAGAGGACTCAGACCGCTCTCCTCCTCCCAGGCCGGCCAAAAAGCCGACGGCTGCCTGCACGGATGCGGGCAGACGGGCTGAGGTGGCAGCTTTGGAGTCCTACGAAGCCCCAGGCACACACGGGCAGAGTTTGGGACACACCAAAAATCAAAGTGTACCCAGGAAGGGGAACCACCTTGGGGCTGGTCCCGGGGCTGCCAGGAGACACCCCCAAGCCTTGAGTTGGGGGTGAATGGAGGTGGCACAGCCCGGGCACCACGAGGGACCCGGGCTGGCAAGAGACACAGGCACCCACGGCAGGCTCAAAGAAGAGGCTTTGGCTGGGTTTTGGTTTTATTTCCCCAGGGATGAAAGCAGGTCCCTGAGCAGAGGGATATGGGGGGATGCACAGACCCCCCAGACCAAGGCGGGTGCCTAGGGGATGCTCTGCTCAGCATCAGCATCAGCCTCAGCATCAGCATCATCCTCAGCATCAGCATCATCCTCAGCCTCTAACCAGGGTCTGGGCTCCCTCTGCAGGCAACGGGGACAGCAGAGCCTGTCACCCTCTGTCCTTGTCCCTGCCACCCTCTGTCCTTGTCCCCGCCACCCTCTGTCCTTGTCCCCACCACCACCCTTGAGCCCACGTGTGTGCCCCCCAGCAGACGGAGCCCGGGATCTCCCAGCTCCCCCAAAGGATATGGTCTTCGATCTCCGATGCCATCTTCTCGCAGTTGACACCGAACTCCTTGTAGTCGTCTGAAGGGCAGAGAGCCCGAGGGGTGACTTACAGGTGTGAAACCAGCCGCGTTTCACTGTGCACCAAGAAACCCTCCCCAAAAAAATCCCACCTCTCCCCTTCACCTTGTCCCAGGCACCCCGTGTCTAAAAAAACTATTTTTACCCACCTTGAGCCTTACAAAGACCCCATCCCCACACCCAACCCCTTATCGGAGACCCTACCAACCTCCTTTTCTTTCATTTTGGGGCTGAAGACTGAGCTATGAGCTACAGCTGCAGTTTGTTTGCAAGTCCAGGCTGAGTTTGCTGTTGCAGGGCTGTGGGCGCCCCAGGACGCAGAGCCTTGCTTGTTATTGTAGGGTTGCTCCTATTAGGGCTGTCCCATAGGAGAAACAGCCCAGTTTGGGCTCCAGCACCCCCCAAGCTCCAGCAACCCCCAGACCCACTCACCGTCCATGCGGAGAGCGGCCGTCAGCATCTCAATGCACTTGTCCCGCACCGAGTCCCCTGTGAGATAGCAGGGGGCCAGGAGGCAGGGGCTGGGCGAGAAGGGGGGGCTGGTG